AAAACGTAATGAATGCTTAGAGGAAATATCCCGTTTTACCGTGAAAACAGATATAAAATTTAATGGAATAATATATTGTTCTCGTTGTTAGGATAATATATAGTCTCGTGACAAGCGTGTATAATTTGTCTTTTCTTTATGGGCATTTACTTGGAAGCAAAAGAGGACCTTTCATTATGGTACAAAAAAGGAAGAAATGGATAAGCCGGAACAGACTCGAATTTCGGAAATGCTTTTTTTTTTCTCTTCCTACCGCAAGTAGTATTGAGTTGGAAATATTTCATTCTGTACTCCCGATAGCGCATTCAATTAAGATAACAAAATGGCATGTTTCCGAACAATTTCTTTTTTATTTCTTCTCTCGGAAATTCTTCGTCCCAAGATCTTCTCTCGGATAACTATATCATTTCAAATATTAATATATCCTTCAAACACGTGTCCGGAAATAGTTAATGCTGCTTTGATTAATCTTACGAAGGATCTTTATTTATATTAAGAGATGAGTACACTTTTGGATGTTTACATTTCCGCCAATATGCAATAAATATCCTTTTTATTAATTATCCCATTTTGCACGTTAAAAGTATATAGTAAAATATAGGCTTGCATTTAAAATTGAGTATAAGGCATCATTATTTGCTTCAAAAAAGTTAATTTCATATAATTTCTTCAATGAATCCCGTAATTCAGTGTTCCACAACCCCCGGTTAGCGAACCGGTACCGATCGGTGGATCAAATGGCCGCCCATTTCATTGAAACTGAATTTAAATTCCTAAGTTTATACCACAAATTAAAAATAATATCTGTGTTCCATTAAAATTTTAGCAGTAACAGCAACCAAAACAAAGCAACGGTATAAACTGGACTCAGGCAAAACACACTTCGGGTGTTACTATCTCCGATCACCCCCAGATGGTTTCTCCTTGATTTAACGTTCTAGTAAGTTAAAATATTAAATCACTTTACATTTATTTTTTGAAGTAACTATACTTTATTTCGAAGGCATGCATAAACACAATTAAATTAAAATTAATAAATCAAAATAATCTAAAATGTGAACAATCAACGTCGCCCCCCCCCCAGCGAGCCGCGCTAAAATTATCAAACGTTGACAGGTCCGCGGTGATTAAAAGGTTGGGGAACACTGCCGTAATTGGTGTAGATTTGAATTCTAATGCTGTATCACTCACACTCACGTATATATGTTTATATTCTGCAGTTTACCACACAACTTAGTTTTTTACGAAGTAGAACATACACACGAGAGCGTATGCTACGTGACAGTGCAATTCCAACCCATATTGCCCTAACTTGACTTACACGTCACTCGAATCTCGCGTCTCATTTCAAGAAGTTTAGATAGCCTGGTTGGTTGGGCACTGGACCCATGTCCAAAAGTTCATGGGTTCGATCCCAGGCCGGCTGAAGACTCCCCGTGTAGTAAATGGTGACCGATGCACGTTAAATCTGTCGAGTTGCAAAGTCGCATAACAAATCAATACCTCTGGGGGTACTGATCCAGGAGTTCCCTTGTCTTCTGGATTTGTTGGAAATGACAACACCAGGAAGTTGAACATTAGTAGTCGTAAACCCAAATTTGGGTTGACTGTTCAACGACGGTTATAAAATAAAATAAAAAGAAGTCGCTGTGTTCACAGCATGTGCGTTTTATCTTCTGTACATTTGATATTTAGTTGGAAGGATCTAGTTTATCCATAATTCTTGCATTAGACTTCTTAATCTGGGATTGAGTTTTAATCATTTTGATAGAATATTAATCCAGTCTTTATGTGTTTTTATAAATGATTTTAAAATGCTGATCAAAGAATAGATCTATTGTAGGTTAAAAATTAACACTTAATATAAAAATGTTAATTACATTTTGATCTAGAGTTTCACAAAGTAAACTTAAACATTCTAAATTTCTTAATGAGTGTACTTCATAAGATTTAGATTGTCGCATTTACTGTCAGCTGCCACGCTGCGGGATATTTTATGTTTTGAAATAATAATTATTCGAGAGATCTAGACAAAGAATTAAGAAGGAATAAAAAGAGAACGTTTATTTTATAAAAAGTTCATAAATTTTTGAAGACATTTGAAATTATCTTTTTTCTGAATCTTTAAAATTATTTGAAAAACTGTTTCTTTAATGTTGATGTTAAAAGCAAATCTTAACTGTCACTTAAGAAGTATTTTCGCATTAAGAAGCATTAGAAATGTCACAAATTTGTACTTTCCGGTTAAGCTCAGCCACCAATTTCATTTCAAGTACTATGCGCTGTTCTTCTTAAAAATATTATTATTTTTCTTTCAGACTTAGATTCATACTTCGATAACTTGCTCTTGAAATAATCCTACATTTCTTACATCAGACGAAAATAGCAGAACAGCTATTTTTCATGCGTTAAAAAAAGGCGAAAGTTAACTTGTAAGTTTTTCTCAACTTTAATCTTTTAATAACTTTCGAAAAGTAGCATCTGCATTAGGTTTATGTTAGCCTCCGTGAATTCTTTTTATTTATAAAATTTTAAACAAATAAAAGCGGTAAAATGTTTTAAATACTCTTTCATCTGTTAATAACTTTTAATCTGCTCAAGATTGCTGTGTTTGCCCCTATGAATCTAAGACAAGAAGATTCTAAACATAGAAATAGAATACGATGTTCTAAGCCAGCTTTCACTGAAAACCAATAGCTGACCGAGATTTAAATGTTTGCCTCTATGAATCTAAGGCTGTATGATTCTAAACATAGAAATAGAATACGATGTTCTTAGTCAGCTTTCATTAAAAACCAATACCCGACCGAGATTTAAATGTTTGCCTCTATGAATCTAAGATTATAAGATTCTATACATAGAAATAGAATACGATGTTCTTAGCCAGCTTTCATTGAAAACCAATACTACCCGACCGAGATTTAAATGTTTGCCTCTATGAATCTAAGGCTATAATGATTCTAAACATAGAAATAGAATTCGATGTTCTTAGCCAGCTTTCATTGAAAACTAATACCTGATCGAGATTTAAATGTTTGCCTCTATGAATCTAAGGCTATATGATTCTAAACATAGAAATAGAATTCGATGTTCTTAGCCAGCTTTCATTGAAAACTAATACCTGATCGAAATTTAAATGTTTGCCTCTATGAATCTAAGACTAGAAAATTCTAAATTCACAATTACAATAAGATGTTTTAAGACAGTTTTCTTCTTTTAATAACTTTAAAAAAATTGTCGTTTTTGGTCTTGATTCTAAGCACATATAAATATAAAAAAGTTAACAGAAAAACTATGACTATGACCGACGTATTTCTCGACTTGTCAAAAGTAATAAAAAAATCAATAAATAAAATTTAAAAAATAAGAGAAATTAGGTATTGAAGTCATTTATATCGAAATTTTTCCAAAACATAAAAAGACAAAAATGATTTAAAACAGATTTCAATTTGTAATATGATGTGATAAAAAGTTATCCTTAATATTGTTAACAAGTCAATTATTTCTCATTTATTACTACTTATTTTATTACACATTCATAAGTTTAATAGTGTTTTTAGAACAGTTTATTATTTTTCACATCTAGGTATGTATTCCTTTCGGTACAATTTACATGTAAACAAAATATGCGTTCATAAGATTATTGTAATCATATATTTTATAAACTCAGAAATTTTTTTTATCAACTTAAAAAAATTAAAAACTACAAACATAACTGGAAGGACAAAATAAGTTAAAAATGGAGTGGTATAATGGATAAAATAATTCAAGATAACTTCAACAAATGTAAATGACTTGTCTCTGTAATTAAAATATAAATGAACAAAAAACAAAACTCATCAAAATAGTGTGTATACTATTGTGTACTATATTGTATTTTTCAATTCAATTTATTGAAAAGTGATACGTTTCAATTTTGGAAATGATTATTAAACAGGGAGAATTTCAGATTAAATTAGCAACTAATTAAATGATTAAAAAAAGTCCCCATGGGTCAAATACTTTTTCTTTCTGGATTGACTCCGTTAAACGCCACACCATTTCAAATCACGGGTTGCAAAAACTATCTCAATTGATGTTAGTCGTCGGTTTGGTTTTCAAATCCTTCCTATGTACGTGTTTCAAGACGTCACAAAATACTTTTGCTTCTTCAGTATTCATATTTATATTGAAATCACCGCCAAGCCAGTTATTATACGTTAATAATAAAAAAGAATATCAAAATACTTAAAATTATTATTATGTAAACACATTAAAAATGTCTGCTAGTGAAAAGAAAAAGAAAAACAGCAGCGGTCGCCATAGAAACGCATGCTACGACGACGCATGCGCACTGTTTGCTATTACTCTTGAATACAGTTGAAAAGTTTGATAACGTCCAAATAAGTTGCGCACGCCATCATACCCAAAACAAAACCCATTTTGCCATTGGATAATAATTGAAAAAAACTTGATGAATGAGAAGTGAGCAGAGTGAACAGAAAGAGCTAAGCCCTCTAGTTTACTTATAAGTTATAATTACATATTTTCGAACTTAACACACATGTGGAATAAAAAATTTTTAACATTTACATCACTGCAAAATTTTCTAACCTCCATGAAAGGAAATTTTGGCTATTGTTTAATCAATAGTTTATTTTTAAAAGGAATCGATTTCGTTAAAGAGAAACTGCATTTTAATTTTAATTCTGAAAATCACAATGGATGAAAATTTGAAGAATTCAACGCATCAAGAATTGATTTTCAAATATACATATTTTCAAATATACTGTGACTTTTGAAATCATAAATAATAAAAGAACTAATAAAGATAAAGTTCTTTATTTATGATTCTTTCCTCGGGAGGGAAAGGTTCATTTGTATAATTTGTTTTCACCTGGTGACATATTGTTGGATGACATTAACATTCAAAAAGTAAAATATTTTCACAAGAGAGACTTAATTGGTGCGTGTAATGTACTTCTTTGTGTATTCGTAAATGAATTCATTTTTGTTTGCAGTGTGTGTGTTTGAACAAAAGAATGCGGTGTCTTCCTCTGAAGACGGTCCTCCTACTCTCCTTTCTCCTTTGCTTCTCTGCCCAACTCATCCACGGCTACGCTATGCGTGGTAAGTAGTTGCTCAATTAGATATCAGCAAAACTTTTAGAATTCCAAATTTTGAATTCCTGTGTAAAACCCTGTTCTACAACAGGGCAAATGGTTATTTTTATCTGTTTGTTTCTTTTAATAAAATAACAACGGCCGATCCAAATGGAAATATTTTTATATAGAATGTTATACTATTTTAGAAAATAATATTTAAGGCAGCCATTACGAACGCACATAATAAAAAGTCAGCCTTTCATGTAAATATTTAATAATCACGTAAAAAGGAAAGTTTACAAACTAAATTATGGTACAATACAGTGTAGAAATTAAGCCTCTAGCCACTTCTTAAATGACAACAGTGTAGTGTATCTACCGCTACAAAAATACGATTCCAATTCACTAGTATATATGACATGTTAATTCGATTCTATAATGGTGTACTTTTTGGATAGATGAAGGTTGACATTGTCTATAACTTTACTCCTCACATGGGTGACCCGGATGTGATATGAACACCCCTATCTGACAGAAACTCCCACTTCAATTTGAATACGCCTACTTCGATGGATGGTTCCCAGTCAACAGTTGACTTGCTACTTGGGACAAACATCCATCTCTCGCTGTTTCTTCTCAGGTTTGATCCTATACAACGTATACACTAGACTGCTAATGGCAACACAGGAGCGACTACGACCGTGAACTTAAAATAGCTCTCACGATCAGCACTCAGAAAGTACAGTGATCTTAATACAGCTCTCCCGGCTTCTCACAAAACAGCAATGAATAGACTAGTGGTATCCATTCATCGAATTCTATCAAAGCTATAATTCTGATGGGGGAGTACTGTAGTGTATCTACCACTACAAAAATACAATTCCAATTCACTAGTATATAAGACATGTTAACTCGATTCTATAAAGAGGTACCTTTAGATCAGTGATTCTCAACCCTTTTTTTGGGGGCGGCACACTTTTAACGATGTCGAAATTTGACGGCACACAATGAAAAAAATTAGTTTAAAAGTTGTTTACTTAACTATAATAATACACTGTGTTAAATAGTTTGTGATTATAATTTTGAATGTGAAATGAGATATGTACTACAAAAGCATGTTTATTAAGGGATTAATTATTTCTTTCGACTAATTTTTTATTAGTTAGTAACAGTTATTTATTTTTTGTTGCTAATTAATTGTTGGCTTGTTTTCTATAGCTATTAACTGTTAATTTTTTTGCGATTTCTTGTTAACTAGTTTTTTTTGCTGATTATTAATTGTTAGCTTATTTTTTTGTCAGTTATCCTTTGTTAAATTTTTATAACTATTAATTGCATAGCTTACTTTAATGATTAGCTTTTATTTCCGTTTGAAAGTCAATATTTAGCTTGCTTTCCTTTGTTAATTAATAATTTTAATAGTCATTAAATTTTCTACTTATTTCATCATTTTTTAAAATTGTCAAAGACAATTTAAACACTTCCTTCTTATTTTAACTTATTATAAGATTGTCAGAGACAAGACAATCGCCGACAAAGATGTTCACGCTGTTAAAGCGTGGAAAAATTATAAAATGTATCTGTATATATATATATATATATATGTAATATTATATATATAAGTACTTTTCTTTAATTCAAACTTTACTCGTAATAAAGAAAAAGCATTATAACTTTTACTGTATCATTTCTAATATTTGACCGCGCATTTTAAGAATTTGACGGCACACAAAAGTGCCGCAGCACAGTGGTTGAGAATCACTGCTTTAGATAGATGAAGGTTGACTATGTCAATGTTACTATCCCCATGAAGAGTTTTAAAAATATTTGTTTTTAAGAAAGAATAGGCTACTTAAATATGATTGCGCTCATTTAAATACTGAAAGTATATTATATCAAATGAAGGCTGTTTTGAGGGCTCTGTTGTCTAACAAAACTGGAAAATTTTAAACTATTTGTTATTCAGAATGGTACCAAACGCAAAACTGTAAATTTTTAAATGTTCTGTTGTTCAGAAAAGAACCAAGCGCAGTGGGTACAATGTTTGCATTATATTAATACAACTTGCTAATGTTCAAAATATTTAAAAAAAATCTAAAATATGACATTTTTCTGTGACATTTAAATAAGTTATGAATTCTGTCTATTCACTGTACAACTTCCGCCAAAATGACAGCAATACGATTTACAGCTACATATACTAAGATATATATAGCTCGAAATTGAGATAGCCTAGACTAAGTTTAATAATATATTCTGAGAAAGTAAATATATATTCTCAGAAAGTAAATATAGTCTATAATCATATTCCTCAATTAGGCGCCTGAGATAAATAATTGACTACTTATGATAATAAGCCTGCGAAAGCTAGTAACTAGTAAATTATCAGTAAAGGATTAAAATACTTAATATTGTATGCGTCAAAAGATTAAATTGACTGTTAGAAATTGCAGAATGTTTCGAACCGCAATATTAATCGAATCAGCTGAAATACGGTGCAGAATCGAACCGCGTTATCTTTCTTCTTGGAACTTGGTTCAATTGTTATCGTAACTTGATTTAATTTTACACAATGTTTCGAGCTAATTTTCACCGTATTATAGTTCGAGATATCGTTATAATTGTTCAGTGTTGAGATGATTATTCTTAGAAAGCGGGATTTTTATACGATTTCAACAGATAAAATAAGAACTAAAATCAAAATTTTAAAAATATTATTAACCTTTTCCTCTTTAAAGGAACTACGGCAATAAATAAATATTATTACCGTTTGTTATCTCACAAATAAAAGATTTAACTCACCAAAGATAATTATAGTTCTTAAAAAAATAATCAAAAAATCAATAGTTATAGATTTAAAACTTAAGAGAGCAATAAATCTCAAAAAAAACAAGTTTTATTTTTTCTTTGACATCTAATCTTTTGCGTGAAAGCAGTAAATAAACTCCCTCTTACGCTATACTTTAATAAGCATCTATTTAAATCAAAAAAATGCATAAAGTATTTCAATTTTTCGATATTATTAAGCCACAAATACAACTTTGAAAACAAACGTTACTAGAAATGTACAACAACAACACCAGCTCGAGCGAACCATGTCCATAAAATTGCAAGCGGTAATGATTTTTTGTACGTACTTAAATTAATCTGCTAATTAATTAACGTTTGCGGCAAATTACGTTAGGAAAACATTTACTGCACCCCACTTTCAAATAATAGACATATTTTTTTACGAATATTTCTGACATTTAAAACATGGGAAGTAGTCGCCATGTGGGAAATATCATATCAATAATTCTGTGAAGAGAACTTCTAAGGCTTATTTTATTTCCTCTCTGAAATAACATCATAACATTTCTTCTATGTTGATTAACATCATAAACATATTATTACTGGTGATTTAAATATTATGGAAAACTTAGAACTAAAGAAATTAAAGACAAAAAGGCACGAAATTTACACCCATTTACCATTTATCAATTAATAAAATTCTTTAACTGCCTTCTTAATACTTCTATTTTCATAATAATCTCAATAATTTTTGTTTAGAGATATCAAATAAATTCTCTCTACCCTTAGGTATGTTAACAAATTGGAAATGGGTTGTTTATTATTACTTTAAAAACTTTGTTTTCAATAATAAGGAAAATTTAAGTATCAGTAACAATGCAACAATTTTTTCTAAAAATTGATCTATAAATTAAGCAACGACCAAAAAATTTTTAATTACCCCCATAGACTGAGCTAACAATAATTATGCAATCTTTTGTAAAAAAATTCTACGTTCAACTTTTAAATAAGGAGTAAAAAGAATAGTAAAAATTTGAACTTAGTAATTTAAATAGTAATATCCTTAAAACAATTTGAGGTTAAAAATTAAAATTAGCAGAAATGAAATTTTTAACAATTGCATGTGGGTCTAATACTTACCTAACTAAACCTTTCACCATTTTCTCGAACTACTTAAATAAAATTAATAACAATATTATTAAAGAAGGTTTTCCGTGGATTAATCAACAGAATTTGGGTATTTATTTAACAAAATAAAATTAATTCTATTGCGACTTACGATCTCCAGGATATCTTCAATAGCATTCCCCTTTCTAAACTAAAAGATGTTCTTTTGAGTTATTAATACGATTTTAAAAATATCCATAATTGCGATTTTGATTATTGGGAAATTCTAATCAATTTTTGTCTTTTTAATAATTGTCTTTACAATGGAAAACATATTTTTATTCAAATTGATGGAATACCACAAGGATCTAATTTTTTTAAAATCTCTTTTAGGTAATTTATTTTTACGTTATTATGAAAACAATTATACTCTTAATATTAAAATTTCTTTTAGATTTATTGATAATTTAATTATCTTTAATTTTCAAGATTATAGACTTTTGTTAAATAATATTTACTCCAAGGAATTAATCTTGCTTCGTAATCATGATGATAGTATTAATTCTAACTTTTTGGATTCAGGTATTAAAAAAGAAGAAAATATCTGCATTATTGATTTATACGATAAAAGAAATTATTTTAATTTTAACATAAATAAATGAATTACTTGGAATTCTAATGTTTCCAAAAACATTTATTTAAACACCATTTTTAATCAAATGAAAAGAATTAAAATAATGTTTCAAAATAATGTTTATTCATCCATAAAGCAAATAGACAAACTCTTTCAGAATTTGATTAAACGAAATGGATACCCAACTAATTTAATTAAATTCTATGTAAAATCATTGAGTAAATTGTTACTATTATTAAAAAATTAGGCTCATAGGTAAAAATTAGGCTCATATTAGCAAAGAAGATAACAATCAAAACAAACTTTCAAAATAATCAATCAAACAATCAAAAACAAACAAGCAAAATAACAATCAAGATAAATTTTCACTGTCGAAATTTTTTTTTTAGAAAACGAGAAGGGTTACATTATTTTTATTTAATAAGTCCAGAATATTTTTATAAAAAAAAGAAAGAAATATCAATCTTTATTCTAAATTTTTAACTACTATGTTCATTATTTTTTCAATAATTTAGAGCATAAAAATTTGAAAAACACTGTGTAAGTACAGAACAGTTTTGATTTACGAATGAGCACATTAGTTGGAAAAAAATAGTAAAATGATATATTTTGATATCTGGAGAATGATCGAAGGGTCGCGAAGCGATCCAGAGAGAGCCGGGGATTCTGAGCTGGTCGTGATCAACCCCTGGTTTTCCTATGATGTTTTGTTTTCTTTACTTGATTTTAATATTTTTAATGTCAATTACTAATTTCAATTTAAATATTTTTAATATTGTTGAGATAATGTTTTTTTCTTTTTCATAAATACAATTTTCCAACATTAATTTATCTTTTGCTCAGTATTTGGGCATTAATATTATAGATAGCCTGTGAGGTTAAACACGTGGTATTATCACGAGTAATAATAGATACCATGTGAGGTTAACAGTCATTTTTGAGCTCTATTGCCAAGGAAAATAAAAAGTCACAGTGCCTTACAAATGTTGAGACGAAGCTATAACTTTATATTATGCATACCGTCATATCTTAAAGACGGAAAAATCTTAAATACCTTAAAAGTTATACTTTTTTTTAAAAAAAAATCGCTAATTTTGAGATTTTGAAATTTTCCTCCTACATTAAAATTTTCAAAACCAATGAATGATATCTAATTTTTTTCAAATTTTTATATGCCCATGCAATGCATCGACGGAGCGATTTTTTAAATATTGAAAAATGAGATAATAAACGCTTTTAATTTTGACAAAACTTCATAATGACATTTTACGCTATTTTCAAAGTCAGCACAAAGGTAGATTAAACTTGATCTAACAGTCATGAATAGCTAATAAAAATATTTTATTATTCGCAAAAATACGTTATTTCAATGGACGACAGAGCCTTTGAAAAGCAGCTTTAACGTCTAAATCATCTAATCCATTCAAGTTAGTAGTACTTATAAGTGACACAGCTACCCATCTTATCAAAATAAAACGACTCAAGACTTACAATTTTAGAAGCGCTATCAGTTTTCGCACGTTTTCCAATTACTTTAATAATGATTTGCACACAAATTCTTTAACAAAACATAGGTTAGTTTTAGAATTAATTAAAGTTAAGTAGGAAGCACTATAAACACGCGAAGCTAATTATTTTTATCAGCCTAAAACATTTGGTCCCTCTTGCATTATTAAAATAAACAATAATTAGTCACATTTTAGAGAAGGTGTAGGGGTTGCTTGAGAATTATGTAATCTATAGTGTTACTATCGTTGTTGATGAGGTAACTATTCTTGCTAGAGTAAGTTTTCATTTTTAAATTAAGCCTTTTTTTTCAATTTTATTTAAATTAATTTCACTTTAATTCTGTGAACGACAACTGTAGTATGTGCTTCATAACGATAACATTCTCCAAAATGGCAGACAATCTGAAAACATCAAACTAAAACGGAAGAAGAAATAAATGCAGCATTCAGCTTTTATAACTCATTTTTTATTCATCTCACACAGTTTTAAAATTAATACCAATGTTCGCGAACAGATGGCGCTGCAGCTAATAAACCTTTTTTCTGTTACATAAAAATAGTGTTGTCTATATTTCTCAGTTAGCAGCTTCAACTGTTGATGAAGTTAGTAACTAATTTTAAAACTTCTTGAGGATACTATAGCTTCTTAAATAGAACGAATAAAAACATGCAATTCCTTAACCTTTTTTTTTTTAAATTTTCGAACTAATTTTTAAAATGTTTATCAAGAAATACGAAAAAAAAGAGATACTATAAATTTCTTTTTTTGCATGCAATTAGTAAGTATTGAAGTTATGCATTGAAGTTACAAAGTAAATATATTCATCCTAGAAATTATAATCTCTATTTGCTTGAGTAGAGTTTGGTACAGACGGGTTATAGGGACCATGAAGATAAGTTCACCAACAAATAAGAGCAATGCCAGATCCTAGTTAACGCCAAAATCAAACTAGCGATAATGCGCATAGGTGTATCAAATACAACGATCATCAACGACAGCAATACATCAAAAACGATTATATCGCGATCATTATTAATAATTCTCAGTATTGAATACGATAATATCACATGACGTATCAAAAAGATAATATCGTGAATACCATACACAACGATAATTAGTGTACACGATATTTTTGTCAATTATAATATAAATTGCTAAAATAACACGAGATATTGTGAAATATCTATATTTTTAACAATATATCATGATATTAAAATTCGTATATATCGGTTAGGGACTAATGTTCGTGTTATAATCAACATAGTCAATAGTGACACGAGTCGTGTTATAGTCAATAATGACAACAAGACATCAAAAACAATTATATCACCATCATTGTTAATAACTGTAATTATTGAATACGATAATATCACGGTCATTATCAGTACCCTGACGTATCAAAAAGATAGTATCGCGAATATCATACACAGCGATAATTATTGTATACGATATTTTTGTCAGTTATAATATAAATTAATTAAATTGTTAAAATAACACTACGTATTGTTAAATATCTATATTTTTAACAATATATTGTGATGTTAATATTCGTATACATAGGCTAGACGGACTAATGTTATAGTCAGCATGTGGTCCCTATTAACCTTATGAGTTCTATTTATGTCTATTGTCGGTCTAATTATGAATGTTTTTCCACCTTTGGGTTTCTCCCTAGCTGATACCTCCCTTGATCAAGAACCCAACTATGAAACTCTCGCCAAGTACCTCATGTCCACAAGAAAGTAAGTTTCAATTCATTCTTTTTTTTACGTTGCATTTTTTATTCATTTACATGCATATAATTATATTTTATTTGCTTAGTTCTTTATTCATCATGCTTTTTTTTCTAGTAAAGGTATCTATATAAATAAAGCAAAATGGTTTTAGGCATGCGTGTATGTATGTGCCTTATAAAATTCCGCAATTGTGAACCGATCCTCACCAAATTTGGTGTACTTACTTTCAAAGACATGGCGACCCTAACTATCTATTTTAAAACTCTCTTTTACCACTGATTCCCCCTCTACATCCCAAAGAAAGGGTTTTTCACAGGATTTGATGGCACAGGATGGATTTGAACACTCGCCTCGGGTTCGAATCAAAGTGATGCCTAGTCGATACGAACTCATACCGACAACGGCGCTGACGTAAAATATCCTCAGGGGGTAGACGGATCATGAGTTACAGTCCTCTTGCCGTCAAGGTAAACCTGGGAGATTTCGTAGTTTTCCTCTCCATGAAACATAAATGAGGGATAATTCCATTAAAAAAGCCCTCCCCAATTCTCAGAATTTCTCCAAAAGTACCTTTGTCTTCTGGATTGGGTTCAAAAATCAAGGCTACACAGTTAAACATTGGATCAGCTGTTAAGGACGGTTATAAAATCAAGATAAAAGTAAAATTAATATTTTATTATAGGCGAGATTAGCTAGCTTGTATCTTATATCAATAAAAAAAAACAACTTTTAAAGCAATTTTTTCTTATTTATTTTTGATAACGTTAGTTTATCATAAGTAAAATCAACACAGATAATTTATCGACGTATAATGATGACGTAACCGAGTTCGTATTTTAAAAGATATATGAAACCAGAGATTTCTTATAGTCATACTTTCAAAGCAAGTTTCTATTAAACTGAAATAATGAGAACTCAATCAAACTAAAATAAAATTGAAGTTATCTATTAAGCATTGAAAAAATTGCGAATATCACAAATTGAATAATACTCTAAGTATAGTTAGTTATCTTTCTTTTTGTGAGTTGAGTATCGAATTCATATAGTTAAATCTAATAATATGATGCTACACTGGAATATATATATATAAAAAAAAAAGATTGATGTGTATTAAATATCGTTAATACGTAGTATGGCTACTTATCTTTTATATATCTAGTATATTAGGCTACTTATCTATTTCGGAGATCGGTAAAAGAGACTTTTACCAAGGAAATTGTATTATATTGGTATAATTGGATCTCATTACAACAGTATATCTACAACAGCAATATCAGTATTATTTAATACTGCATTCAATTCACTGACCTTAATTATAATTTAGCGATTTTTAACGGACATCGAAATAAGTTCCGATATTTGCTCGCCAATTCTGTCTATAAAAATATTAGTGCCATTACTAACTATTTTTTTAGGATTATAATTTATTAATTTTGGTATTTGGTAAAAATTGAACTGAAAAAAGTTTTATTTTTGGAAGTTTAAATAATGTAGAAAAGTTTCTTATTCGCGTATGCGAACTGTGAAAAAGTGCCATATGTTGTTGTTGAAGCATATGATGCTGAACTCATTTTGGTAATACGAACAAATTGAAATTAAAAAAAAAAGTTTTTTTTCTTTCTAAAAGGCCTAATTAATGGAGAAAAGGTACTTATCCGTTTAGGAGAACCATAAAAAAATCACCATATTATGATTGACGCAAATTAATTAAGAAAATAGATACTACAGGCATTATGCAAACTGAAGTAGAAATAAAAAAGTGGATTATAGTTTAAATGCTTTAGAAGGGTAAATAACACAAAAACAAACTTTCCTCGTTTCAATTTTCCCTTCATAATGTTTAATGTCATATTTATAAATAAGAAAAGATCAAGAGGTAGTTTTTTTGTTTTTAATCATTAAAAAAGGTGTATAGTCACACAAAAAAATGGTGTATAGTCACCATAATTAAAAATTTTCTTAAGCACAAGTTTTTTTTCCAACTAGTTTTATATGTTTTTTAAACTTTTCAATATACAAAAGATCAAAAGGATGTTTTTCTTTGGTCATTAAAAAACATATAACGTGTCTTTCATTTTCCATTCAAGATATTTTTGTTGTAGGTGAAATAACATTTTTCCATCAAAACAAAAATGACCCTCTAATTTTTTTATATTGGAAAATATGACATCATACTAAGAAACTTTGACTTCAAAAACAAGAATTGGACGACAAGATTTTTTTTAATTGCGACAAGAAGTGTGCTATAAGAAAGAATTATTTTGATTTAAAACACCATTTTATATTTTTTCATTTATTTGCTAATGGACGAAACAAAAAACACGTTTTAATAATTGTATTTAATTACTCAAGCTCAATAGTACAACTAGCTATCGTTGGCATCAGACAATATCCAAGCAAAACCGAAATTAATAGAGGTATTTTATTAACGTAGCTCTAGAACTTTACAATAGGGAATGGGCGACGGTCTGAGAAACATCCCTAAGGATGATCCGAAGACATGCCATCACAATAATTTCTCTGCAGAGGGGAGACATCTTCTGCAGAGGGGACCAATTCATGAGTGGAGTGAATGCATGTGATCTTGGTGTAAGCATTCTTCATTATTGGCGTTTAGATTTAAGCACACCCCTTTAAAGTTTATATGAACTCTGTATTTATAGTTAACTTGAAATAAAGTATTCATTCCCACTCTATTTTGGAATTTTTTGCACCAAATTCGGAGCGGAGTGACACCACAGTTTTTAACAGGGTAGCTAGGATTTTTGAGGTGCATAAATAGTGTCTATGCCATATAAATAACATACAGATATCTACGGTTATCATAGGTTTATGGTGTCTTGCCATATAAATCTTTAGGATTACCATAGGCCTATGGTATCTTGCCATACAAAGTTCTATGGTAACCATGGGTTGCCATAAATTACCATAGATTTCTCTACGGCAAATTTCCCTTAAGGAAATTCGAAATATTATTTTACAATTTGTGTTTTAATGAAATAATGGTTTAAACCTTCTTATAAAGAATTTTTTTCACTATTCGTCTTTCTCAAGTGGAAGAACAGATAGCAATATGTTTGCGAAGGATATCACAAATATGTCAAGTATACAGTCAAGTTTATGGCGGGAATCGAACTTGCTACCTTCACGCTTCCTTCACTGTTACTCTAAAGTTATTTGAGCTTCTCAGCACATGCGCGAAAATTTACACACTAATTGCAAATTTCCTAGGGACAGAAATATGTTTTCGGCTATGGGTAGCATAGTAAAAACGCTCAGCAAAATCTCTCCACTATAACGACAAATTTATCTCAAAATTTGCTTTTGCATCTGAGATCAAAATAAGAAAATAATACATAGCTTATCGGAAAAAATGTTCATTCAAAATAATAGATACCTAATTTCAATTCTCATATCTANCTTCAAGAAATCATTTAGACGACTTTACTCGAGGAAGAATGATTGGGAAGCTTGAGGAGAGGCGTAGTGTAACCAGTGTCGTCGAAGAGTTCGGGATCAACAAAAGTGTTGTTTCTCGTGCTTGGAATGCCTTTAAAACTACTGGTACAGCTGTTCGGAAGGCTGGCGGTGGCTGTCCAAGGAAAACAACACCAAGAGATGACCGTTACATTGTCCTCCAGGCGAAAAGAAACCATTTTTAGTCAGCGAGCGCCATATCTCAGCAACTGTGCACAGCCACAGGACGACAAGTATCAAGATTTACAGGGGCCAGACGCCTCCACAAAGGTGGCTTATTTGCTAGACGTCCTGAACGCTGCATATCTTTAAAAGTTAGCCATCGGCAGCTTCGTTTAGAATGGTGCAAAGAACACGAAACCTGAACACCTCATCAATGGAGTCGCGTCCTCTTCACAGATGAGAGTCGTTTTAGTGCTACAAGCGATTCTCAACGTCAGTTGATCTGGAGAGAGGTTGGAGCTCGATTTCATCCCAATAACATCGCCGAAAGAGATCGTTACGGTGGTCCTGGAGTTCTCGTCTGGGGTGGCATTACGTTGAACGGGCGGACTGAGCTTCAGATCTCCGATCGAGGTTCTGTAACTGGAGACCGCTACTGCAATGAGGTGATCCTACCACATGTGCGTCTGTTCCGAGGGGCCATTGGACCAGACTTCATTTTTATGGATGACAATGTCCGGCCACACCGTACTGCTAATGTTCAAGAGCTACTGGAAAGTGAAGATATCGCACGAATGGATTAGCCAGCCTACTCTCCATATCTAAATCCCATAGAGCATGTGTGGGATGCATTAGGGAAATGTCTTGCGACTCGACAGTATCCTCCTGGTAACACACCTCAGCAGAAAGATGCGTTAAAGGAGGAATGGAGACGTTTACCCCAAGAACTCCTGGATAATCTGGTGCTTAGTATGGAGAGACGATGCCGAACAACAATTACAGTAAGGGAGGGGGGGGGGGCATATCCCATACTAGGGAACATCTGCCAGTTGTACTTACGCTTCTTCAGGCAATCATGTGTAACGCCACTATATGTCAAATAAAGTCTTTTTTTGTTCCATACCCTACTTTAAGCTTTATATTCATTTTTGCGCCATTATTCTTTCACCATCATTTAAGTACAAAATAATGTGCATCATATTCAAATTTCATGTCAATCGGATGATTTCTTGTACAGTTATGACAAAAAACGCACTTGTTGCTTAAGTTTTGCCCACCAGTGTACATAGATTATCGGAAAAAATGTTCATTCAAAATAATAGATACCTAATGTCAATTCTCATATCTATAATAATCAAAAAGGTAAAGTATGTAAATTTTGAAACTATTTCAGGAGACCAGAAATCTGAACAGCAGGTGCAGAAGCCCCTAAACCTAAAAAAAATTGCTCAAAATTTCAATTAATCCGTGCTAGCCGTGGTGAGGTGAACAGGGTTTGAATTCAAGGGATGACTGGTCTATACGAATTCCACAACCGGCTCTCAACGATAACAATGTAGACGTAAAATATAATTAGTGATAGACTG